TCCTCCCTATCAACCACCAATTTTCATGTCATCTGCAAACCTACAATGTTGGTAACATTTGAATTGGAAAACCAAGTTTCAATTATATATATTAAAAAAAATGAGGTTGACAGCTAGTCTCAGGCATGGTGACTGTGTAAAGTGTTATTTATACTTGTTCAAAATCCCATCTGGTTCTCTAATGTCCTTTAAGGAAGGAAATCTGCCATCCTTACCTGGTCTGACCTACATGTGACTCAGCAATGTGGTTGACTCTTAACTGCTCTCGGCAATGGCCTGGCAAGCCACTCAACTCAAGAGCAACTAGGGATGGGCAACTGGCCTTGCCAGTGATGCCCACATCCTGGGAACTCATAAAGAGAAATCGGTAGGCTTGGAGGGGGCATGGGCAGAGAATAAATATGGGCATGGACTGTTCGGGACAGTTAGCTTCATAGAACCCCCACAGTGTGGAAGCAGGCCATTCAGCCCATCAGGTCCACACTGACACTTTGAAGAGCACGTACCCCCACATCCACCCATCCCTGTAACCCCCCATTTCCAATGGCTAACCCACCCAGCCTGCACACTAGGGGCAATTTAGCACAACCAATTCCACCCTAACCTGCACATCTTTGGACTGTGGGAGGAAACCGGAGCACCCGGAGGAAACCCACGCAGACACGGGCAGAATGTGCAAACTCCATACAGACAGCTGCCCGAGGGTGGGGTCCCTGGTGCTGTAAGGCAACAGTGCTAACCACTGAGCCACCGTTGCACCCCTCACTTCTGTTGTGCAGATTCTAAGTAAAGCTGTACTCAGCTGACTGGATTTCTAGCCGGTCAGTATCTGGGCAGGATTGCAAAGGTGCGGACCTCTGATATTTTCAATCACACTGTGGCTAGTTATTGTGAACCCCAGATAATAAGGCTGTTAAGGTGTTGATTTGAAATCTATCTGTGGAGCTCCTGAATTAATAGAGATTCAAATGTGAATCAGGGTGTTTGTGAGTTGTTACGGCAAAGTGTTTTCTACACTAATATTTTTTACAGTTTCCACAGTTAGCAGACTAATAGCCCTAGTGTTGTACATTATCAGATTGCCATTATTCCTGTGTGAATCCTTAATCTATTTACAATATATTTCTCTGTGAATTTATCTTTAACACCTGCAATTGAAAACAGAAATGATTCAACGAAAACCAGAGAGCAGTTGGTTCAATAATATCATCCCTCCAGTGTGCTACACATCGGAATCCTATTTCAGGGGAGTTTTCCCAGGTGTCCGAACACAGATTTACAAACCCCACCCTATGTTCTTAATAATGAATTGGTGAAGAAAAGAATTACGAGGATGTTGCCAGGGTTGGAGGGTTTAAGCTACAGGGAGAGGCTGAATAGGCTGAGGCTGTTTTCCCTGGAGTGTCGGAAGCTGGGGGTGACCTTATAGAGGTTTATAAAATCATGAGGGGCATGGATAGGGTGAATAGGCAAGATCTTTTCCCTGGGGTGGGGGAGTTCAAAACTAGAGGGTATAGGTTTAAGGTGAGAGGGAAAAGATTTAAAAGGAACCTTAAGGGCAACTTTTTCACACAGAGGGTGGTGTGTGTGTGGAACGAGCTGCCAGAGGAAGTGGTGGAGGCTGGTACAATTACAACATTTAAAAGGCAGCTGGATGGGTATATGAATAGGAAGGGTTTAGAGGGATATGGGCCAAATGCCGGCAAATGGGACTAGATTAATTTAGGATATCGGGTTGGAAGGACGAGTTGGACCTAAAGGTCTGTTTCCATGCTGTACATCTCTACAACGCTTTGACTCAAAGCTGATTATTGTGTTGCTGCTTGGGAGTACTGAGGTGTTGAAAGGCTCTACATGAATGCAAAACCTGGCCTCTGTTCCTGGCTGCACAGTTTTCTTTAATAATGTGCAAACGAAACATGAACGGAGGCAGGAGCCATGCAATTAAAGGCACTAAAATGTTCACTTTCCATTGTAGTTTTCATGTATGTCAGGATGTTTGGTGTGCAGTGCATTATATGATCTTGGTAAGTGAACGCACCTGCAAAATGAGCATCTGCAGCAGAGATATGAGCAAATTGGGGAGTCAGGATAGATATTGGCAACCGTTTAGCAAGCTCGCCAAATCCGAGCTGCATTACTCACAGGGGAGAGTGAATCACATCAGGGCAACACCATCTAAACAGTGCTTCTGAATCATTTCAGCTTGTAGGTGGCTGAGGGTGAGATGGTGAGGCATGGAGAGTAATTCTGTGTGACAGCAATGTGAGCCAGAGGCAATAAGACTCACCTCGTTTCCTCCCACAGCTCTCGACCACATTCTTTGTCACCGGGCCAAGGTTCTGGAATTCCATCAAAATCAGATTCGGAACAAAGCCTCCTGAACAGCTCCGACTCACTCCGAGGTCCTGTCCAATTTCCAGGAACATGAGAAATCCGTGTGAGGAGCGGGCCGTTCGGCCCCTCAAGAGCGTGGCGTTTTTCAAGAAGACCATAGTTGGACCCTCAACCTCTAACAGCTGTATCAAGCCTATAGCTACAAGAGGAGGTCAGAGGCCAGGAGTGAGTAACTCAACTCCTGACTCCTCAAAGCCTGTCCACCATCTACAAGGCACAAGTCAGGAGTGTGATGGAATACTCCCCACTTGCCTGGATGAGTGCAGCCCCAACAACACTCAAGAAACTTGGCACCATCCAGGACAAAGCAGCCGCTTGATTGGCACCACATCCACAAACATCCACTCCCCCCACCACCGACGCTCAGTAGCAGCAGTGTGTACTATCTACTGCAGAACTTCAGTGAGGCTCCTTAGTGAACACTTTCCAAACCCATGACCGTTGTGGGTCAAGGAGAAGGGGCACTTTGTGATATTGCCAACCGCAATTTCCGCTCTATCCAGGCTCAGAAATATATTGCTATGCTTTCACTGTTGCTGGGTCAAAATCCTGGAACCTCCCTGCCCAGCCATATACTGGGTCTACGTACACCAATGGACTATAGCAGGTTAAGAAGGCAGCTCAATCACGCCATCTCTAGGGTATTTAGGGAATGGCAGCAAGTGCTGGTCCAATCTGTGATGGCCTCACCCTAAGAATGGATAATCATAGAATCATAGAAACCCTACATTGTGGAAGCAGGCCATTTGGCCCATCAAGTCTGCACCCACCCTCCAAAGAGCATCTCACCCAGACCTACCCTGCTACCCTGTAACCTGGCATTGCCCACAGCTAACCGCGCCCCCCAGCCTACACATCCCTGGACACTATGGGCAATTTAGCATGGCCAATCCACCCTAACCTGCACATCTTTGGACTGTGGGAGGAAACCAGAGCACCCAGAAGAAACCCATGCAGACACAGGGAGAATGTGTAAACTCCACACGGTCACCCGAGGGTAGAATCGAACCTGGGTCCCTGGCGCTGTGAGGCAGCAGTGCTAACCACTGAGCCATTGTGGTGTAAAACCTTATTTAATACTTAAAACATTTCAAAAGGGTTTGGGTGGGAAATGTCATTGTTCTTAGTTCTTTCAGATCTCCAGGTTGTCCTGCTTAGCTACGAATAATGATAATCTCCACTCTTCAGTCTGATCTTCAGATCTCTCAACTCTCTCAAATATTCAAGACATCTAACAGTCCTAATCTCCACCGAATACCCAGAGAGAAGACATTTCTCCTCAACTCAACCCTAAATGATTGCCTCAGAGATAGTAAGAATTGCCGATGCTGGAGTCTGAGATAACACAGTGTGGAGCTGGTGGAACACAGCAGGCCAGGCAGCATCAGAGGAGCAGGAAAGCTGACGCTTCGCTTTGGGACCCTTCTTCAGTAAAATTTTCCTGACCCAAACTGAAACATCAGCTTTCCTCCTCCTCTGATGCTGCCTGGCCTGCTATGTTCCTCCAGCTCCGCACTGTGTTATCCCTAATTGACTGCTCCTGATTCTGAAACCATGCGCCTACCGAGTTCTAGACCCTTCAGTAATGAAAACAGAGAAACTCCGCAATTCTGAGATTCCCACGGAGAGAGAAACAGAGTTAATGTTTCGAGTCGAATGGTTCTTGAATCGTCGTAACACATCTGCCCTTTCCGAAGGCACTGAGGACAATTCTGTATCCCCATCTGTACCCAGTCTCTAATCTGTTAATTTAGCACAGATCAAGCAGCAAAAATGGGATCTTTCTGATCTGAATTTGCTCATGTTTTCAACCAGGTATCCTCACTAACTAACTGAGGAAGGGTTACCATACCGGCAATGTTAATTCTGATTTTCTTTTCCTTAGATGCTGCCAGCCCTGTTGAGCTTTTCCAGCAACTTCTGTTCTCGCTCCTGATTTGCAGCATCCGCAGTTCTTTTGGTTTTTATCCTCACTAACTAAACTACCAATGCATTAATTTGACCAGTTCCTTACGAATGGCATACCGTCCAGCTAACTTCCATTTCAGAGCTTATGCTGAACATGCCCAGCCGTACAGAGCATTTTTTTTTTCGGCTTTAAGTAATTTTGAACTTGTAAAATAATCATTTTTGAAATAAGAGATTGGAACAATGTTGGGGGAGGGGAAGGAAAAGTAGGTCAAACGTGCCAAGCCTTGACTCAAATGCGGCCATGTTGGTTTAAGCATAAAATGGCCACGGTCCCCACATCACGTTATAAACCCGTAGATAATTTCTGTTGAAATCACTGAATTGTCAATTGCAAGATTCCCATGGATGACAGCGAGGAAGTGAGGTATGATCAAGCCGGAGAAATGATCAGTCTCAATCCCTTTTCTTGGCTAACAGGAGACCAAAAGGCTAAGTTTTTCTCTGGAACTAATCAGTGAGAAACAGATTTGCTAAAAGGGACTCTAGCATAAGGGGAGGTGGGGGTTCTGTGTGGAGCTGAATGGTTGAGCCTTCAACTGTCAATCTCAAGTGTCAGACCTGGCAGGTTGATTCTAATTGGTCAGTGTGTTACCATGGGAATGCAGCAGCGATAGGCTTTTTTTTGTCGAGTGATGGAAAAGTTGAAATGTGCGTCAGAATTCATTTTGTTTGTGTTAAACAGCGTCCTGTGTGTTAATATATGCAGCTTCTAGCATTTGCAACTGGGGAGGCAATGGGCCAGTGGTATTATCGGTGGACTGTTAGTCCTGACTGCACAGGCAATGTTCTGGGGACCCAGGTTCGAATTCTACCTTTCTGATGAAGGGTCTAGGCCCGAAACGTCAGCCTTCCTGCTCCTATGATGCTGCTTGGCCTGCTGTGTTCATCCAGCTCTCCACCTTGTTAGCTTGGATTCTCCAGCATCTGCAGTTCCTACTATCTCCCCCAAATCATAACTTACGTAAGTTTGTCAGGGTAATAGAACAGAATGCAGATTATAGTGTTACAGCTACAGAGAAAGATCACCTCTAATGTATGAGAGGTCTGTTCATAAAGTCTGATAACAGCGGGGAAGAAGCTGTTCAAAGATGTTACTATACACCTTTGGAGTCAGTGGGCCTTGAAACTGGGCCTCCTGGCTCAGAGATGGGGACACCACCACTGCGCCACACAAACCCTTCTAATAACTTTGAAGACACAGCCTTTGAAGAGTGAAACCCAGCCGTGTTTTAATCCCGTTGTTCGAAATTGAGTCAAACTCGCGTTTATTTTGCTTGTAACACCAGCAGAATGCACAAGCAGGACATAATTGATTAGCCACTGGCGATCGGATTCCAAAATCTAATCAAACAGTAACAAAGACAGACTGACCCACTAACAAGCATACCAATTAGCTGACTGGTGTAGAGCACAATAGTGAGAAAGAACAAATTGGGATTTATGTAGCCTTCAAGTCCTTTGGGCGCAACGGATTAATTTTGAAATATACACATTACTCTAATGGAAGCAAAGTAAATTCATCTACACACTGTAAGGCCTACAGGCAACAGAAGAAAGAATGGTCAATCAAACCAAAATGTTGGAGATCTGAAATAAAAACAGAGATTGCTGGAGAAGCTCCAATAGTATCTGTGGAGAGAGAAATACAATTAACATTTCACCTCTTTGGAACTATTATCTCTATTGGACTTGAAGCGTTAACTGTTTCTCTCTAGTTTCTCCAGCACTTTCTGTCTTTACTATTGAAGAAAGGATAGTCTGTTCTTGACTGAATGAAGAGTATTTTGGAAATCAATGATAATTGTTTTCAATTGTATTTCACTCTGGAAACTGATTGTTGAAGGCCATCTGCTCAAGGAAATGACCATCTCCAACGACATGTCCATCCTGGGCCTCCTCCAGTACCACAATGATGCCATCCACAAACTGGAGGAGCAGCACCTCATATTCCACCTTGGGAGCCGACAGTCCAATGGCCTAAACATGGATTTCACCAGTTTTAAAATCTCTCCATGCTCGGCTTCATCCCATGTCCAACCCTTACTCTCATTCCCACCTTCTTGACCTGACACTACCTGTCCATCTCCTGCCCCACCTATCCACCCCACCCTTCCCACCGAACAATCCCTACTACCCCATACCTGCATCCACCTATCGCCATCTCACCTACCTTCCCCAACCCCAACCCTCTTCCCTCTATTTGTTTCCCAGCTCCCTTCCCCCTCCCCAGACCTGATGAAGGGTCTAGGCCCGAAACATCGACTCTCCTACTACTCTGGTGTTGCCTGACCTGCTGTGTTCTTCCAGCTCCACACAGTATCAACAATGGCCATCTCCAACAAGACAGAATCCAACCTCTGCCCCTTGTCATTCAATGGTATTACCATCACTCAAACCCCCACTATCAACATCCTGGGGGTTAGCATTGACCAGTAACTCAACTGGACGCGCTACAGGTTAGAGGCTAGCTAACTCACCTCCTGACTCCCCAAATCCTGTCCACCATCTACAAGGCACAAGTCAGGAGTGTGATGGAATACTCCCACTTGCCTGGATGGGTGCAGCCCCAATAACACTCAAGAGGCTTGACGCCATCCAGGACAAAGCAGCCCGCTTGATTGGCACCACATCCACAAGCATTCCACTCCCTCCACCACCGACGCTCAGTAGCAGCAGTGTGTACTATCTACAAGATGCACTGCAGAAACTCACCAAAGATCCTCAGACAGCACCTTCCAAACTCACGACCACTTGCATCTAGAAGGACAAGGGCAGCAGATACATGGGAATACCACCCCCTGCAAGTTCCCCTCCAAGCCACTCACCATCCTGACTTGGAAATATATCGCCGTTCCTTCACGGTCGCTGGGTCAAAATCCTGGAATTCCCTCCCTAAGGGCATCGTGGGTCAACCTACAGCGCATGGACTGCAGCAATTCAAGAAGGCAGCTCACCCCTACCTTCTCAAGGGGCAACAGGTAATAAATGCTGACCCAGCCAGCGACGCCTACATCCTTTCAATCAGCAATACTTTAAAAGTGTCCCAGGACATCTCTGCAGGAGTTCCTCAGGGTAGTGTCCTAGGCCCCACCATCTTCAGCTGCTTCATCAATGACCTTCCCTCCATCATAAGGTCAAAAGTGGGGATGTTCGCCAATGATTGTACAATGTTCAGCAACATTCGTGACTCCTCAGATACTGAGGCTGTCCATGCAACAAGATCTGGACAATAACGTTTGGGCTGAAAAGTGGCAAGTGACATTCACATCAAACAAATGCCAAGATGCGACCATCTCCAATAAGAGACAATCTAACCATCACTGAATCCCTAACTATCAAAGACAACCAATCAGATGGAAGGATGTAGGGAAACAAATCGATTGGTTGATTGATTGTTGTCACATGTCCTGAGATACAGTGAAAAGTGTTGTTTTGCGTACAATACAGACAGATAGTA